TCTTTGTTAGGAACCGTGTCCAGAATTGCCTGGCCGATTCCTCTGGCTGCTGAATTACATGACTTAGGTCATCGGCGTCTGGGGATCGCACATAAGTGCCCTGGAAATTGTCGAGGAATGCGGCTTCCAGGTCCTCCCAACAACTGATTGATCCTGTTGGCAAGCTGTTAAGCCAGTGCCGAGCTGGTCCTTTAAGCTTGAGTGGGAGGTATTTGATGGTGTGGAAATCATCACCGCGGGCCATGTGGATATGAAGGAGATAATTCTCGATCCATACCGCAGGATCTGTTGTGCCATCATATGATTCGATATTTACGGGTTTGAAACCCTTGGGGATTTGATGATCCATTATTTTGTCTGTGAAGCATAGTGGGTGTGCGGCGCCTCTGTACTGGGCTACATCACGACGTAGCTCCAATGAGCTTTGTCTACTGTGTTCGGCCCTGCCGAATTTGTGGCCGGCGTGACGGTTACTGTCTCGAGCCGTGGGGCGCCCACGCGATCCGTAGATCGATCTTGTTTGCCTTGCCTTGTCCTCCAACATATCTCATAAGTCCGGCGCATATTCCCGTGCCTTGGTACGGGGTGCGGCTTGAGTGGAGGGCCGAGAGGCCTCTCTGTCGCGGCCACGAGGTGGCCGGTCGGCCGCATCACATGCTTCCTCCTCTAATCGGGGTAGCAACCTGCGCTTTGGGTAGCTCTTGGAGGGGCGTTCGAGTTTATGCTCTTCGGCCGCAAGGACTTCAGTCCATCTGTCGACTAGCAAATCTTTGATCAGCTCTAAGCTGTTGCTGTTTTTTCTTGAGGCTTCTTGCCGTGGCCATAAGACTGCGTTGAAAACGTTCTTGCTCAACGGGATCCTCTGGCACGACGAATTCATCATCGTCGAGGCTTGCCTCGTCTTCGGAGGGAGGCATATAATTATCGTCCTCGACCTCTCTGTCTGCCGCTCTCTCATGAGGGCTGGTTTCTCCATCCTCCTGTGCTAAATCTTGCCGGAGGGGGTTTTCTTCGGCACTTTCTGGAGTATTATTATCTCCCGTGCTGGAATCACCGTATTTGTTTTGGTGGGATTTTGAGCGGTGCCGCTGACACCGGCGCTCAGGCTGCTTCTTGGAGGGGTCATCCTCCGCTGTTCCATTGCCATCTCCTTCTTTTGGGGTGTCCACCATGTATATGTCATATGACGAGGTGGCTTTCCAGGGCCTGATAGGCGCTGGTTCTTCATCGTCTCCTTCATCGGCGTCCATACCGTCGATGTCTTCGGAGTCGAAGTCGAGCATGTCGGTTAAGTTGTCGACAGTGGCTACAAAGTGGGTGGTGGGTGGGCTTTGAATTTCTTCATCGTCCGAATCCCAACCTTGCTGGCCGTAGTCCGGCTAGGGCTCTCCTGATAAAGAGAGAGACTTTAGTGTCTTCAGAATATCGCCGAAAGGCGAGTGCTGAAAGATGTCCGCGGTAGTAAACTCCATAATCGGCGCCCAATCGGATTCGATCGGCAGGGGCGCGGAGGGTTCGGAGCCCGGAGAGGAGTCCGGCTCCTTGGAGTCACGAGTCTCGTAGAGTGTGGGGCTGGTGTTCGGCTCGATCGCCATTGGGATTGCAGCCCCCGAGGCAGCGTCCAACCACCCATCCTCGATCGGCGCAGTTGGCTCCGAATTAAGGGTCGAAGCCGATGCGGGTGCGGCCTCCAGGGAACTGTTCGGCGGCAGAGCTAGATCATGCTCGTCGTGACAGTGTGGCGCGCTCAGCAGTGGCTCGAATCCGTCGAAGATCAAGTCCCCGCGGATGTCGGCCGTGTAGTTTAAACTTCCAAATCTGACCTGACGGCCAGGGGCATAGCTTTTGATCTACTCCAGATGGCCAAGTGAATTGGCCCGCAGTGCGAAGCCGCCGAAGATGAAGATCTGTCCGGGGAGGAAGGTCTCACCCTGGACTGCATCGCCATTGATGATCGTAGGAGCCATCAAGCCTGACGGCGACGACACAGAGGAACTCTCAATGAAAGCACCAACGTCGGTGTCAAAACCGGTGGATCTCGGGTAGGGGGTCCCGAACTGTGCGTCTAGACCGGATGGTAACAGGAGGCAAGGGACACGAAGTTTTACCCAGGTTCGGGCCCTCTCGATGGAGGTAAAACCCTACGTCCTGCTTGATTAATATTGATGATATGGGTAGTACAAGAGTAGATCTACCACGAGATCGAAGAGGCTAAACCCTAGAAGCTAGCCTATGGTATGATTGTTGCTGTGTATGTTGTCCTATGGACTAAAACCCTCCGGTTTATATAGACACCGAAGAGGGTTAGGGTTACACAAAGTCGGTTACAATGGTAGGAGATCTGCATATCCGTATCGCCAAGCTTGCCTTCCACGCCAAGGGAAGTCCCTTCCGGACACGGGACGAAGTCTTCAATCTTGTATCTTCATAGTCTAGGAGTCCGACTGAAGGTATAGTCCGGCCATCCGGACACCCCCTAATCCAGGACTCCCTCACCTGCCGTCCTCCAAGCTCTACCCTCCGTAAGGCACCTACCAACTAGTCTATTAAGCGACGGTGATTCCCCCTCGAACACGATCCCATTGTGGTGTTTCCATAGTTTCCAAAGAGCAAGTATGATGATGGCCCTCGCGTCCTTCTCCGGAATGCCTTCTATGCTCTTGTTAAGCAACCATTCCGAGAGCATGTCGTCTGGTCCTGGAGTCCACTCTGGTTTGCCCAACGCCGTGCAGTTCTGCAACCAAAAAGCCCTGGAGAAAGCACACTGCAACATGATATGATTTATCGTTTCATACTCTTGGTCGCATAGTGGGCATGCATCATGGTGCGGCAGCCCCACCTAGCCAAGCGATCGGAGGTCCAACATCGATTGCGGAAAACAAGCCATAGGAAGAAGCGACACTGCAGGGATGCCCGGCTCTTCCATGTTGCCATCGCCGTCGGAGCCACCTCCCTGCCCATAAACTTGGCAGCGTATGCTAAACGGGCAGAATATCCCCCATCACGCTTCCACGCCCAGGTGATCACATCTGGCACTCCCTCATGGAGTTGCACCACGTCGACTCTCGCCCATAACTCCATGAATTCCACAAGCGTCGACCCGTCCATGTCGGGGCCAACATCATGCGCCCATGCTCTGCTCGTTACAACCTCCTTGACATGCAGCAGTTTGTGTATGCGCTTGGGGATTCTGGAATGGATGTTTGGAGCGAATTCCTCAATCCTGTAGCCATCTAACCATCGATCCTCCCAAAACAAAGCTCGTCTGCCATCCCCGACCGTCGTGTGCATCGTCGCGTTACACAGTTGTTTGGCTACTTTTGGTATTGATAGCGTGAACTCACTCCACGGCCTCGAGTTGTCGGTACGAGCAAGCCATGGCCACCTAGCCTGCATGACCGTGTTCATCCACCTGATGTCTGGCACTCCAAAGCCCCCGACCCACTTAGGGGCGCAGACTACGGGCCATGCCACCGCACAATTGCCCCTGTTCGCCTCAGCTTTTCCACACCACAAGAAGCCACGTAAGATTTTGTTGATGGCCTTGATAGTCTTGACGGGAAGCTCGAAAGCTAACATCGCATGGATTGGCATCGCCAACAGAATAGACTTGACGAGAATTAGCCGGCTGCTCTTCGAAAGCGCTGATGCTCGCCATGTGGGTAGGCTTGACGTGATGTGATCCACCAATCCTTGAATCTGCGCGGCTGATTGCTGGCGGATGGTCAACGAGAGGCCTTTTCTTTCCTTTTTCCTTTTTTTTCATTTTTATATACAAATAATAAAGCGAGGCTCACGTTTTTTTTTTTTGACAAAGATAAAACGAGGCTCAGGTCGCAAAAGAAGAAGACAAGCGAAGCTCCTCGAGAGAGAAGAAAACAATAAGCAGAAACGAGGCTTCTCACGGGTCTAAAGCAAGGCTTTTCGGAGAAATGGCCCAACACCCACTGGCCCAACGCACCACCACATTCGCGCGGCCCGCCGGGCAGGCCCCGCCGAGCGACAACAAAAGCCGCGACCCGTCGGCCTCCGCCCTCCTCCCCAAACCCCAGACGAAACCCTAGCCTGCCTCCCAGGAGCGCCGAGTCCCTCCGCCCCCAACAGGTGGGTGGCGGCGCTGAGCCCCTCTTCTCCTCCCAGCCTCCGTATCTCTTATCTTCCTCCGTCCGCGGCCTCGCTAATCCTCGAATCTCCCCTCCCTGTTGCAGATCTACGCGCGCGAGGTTCGGTTCGGTCTTCGGAGCTCGAGACATGGCGTAAGTTCCCCCCATCCAAATCTGTAGGGGTTTGTGGCCGTGTAATCCGACTGCAGCGCCGTGTGTTTGTCTGGTCCGGCGAACTGTTGGCCGTGCAGTAGACTCTGCGGTTACTCGGCGCACGTTTGTTTGTGCTACTTGTTGCCTTACCTCGGAGGAATGTGCTGCTGTTGCGGAGAAGCTGTCTTTGAGATAGCAAGTGATGTTGTTGAGGGCGGCATGGCCCTGCTTGATCAATTTCGTGTCGCTGCCTCACTGCTCTAGGTGTTCATGTTTGATAGATCCTGTCTAGTTGCCTAATTGGTTTTGCTCGACCTCGTGTAGTTTAGTTTATCTAATTTACTTCTAAGTGGGTTGAGAGGTGGTATCTGTCATGCAAAGTACCCGGTCATGCAAGGTTGCATTTTATAGCTGTAGTGTAACCAATATTGTCCTTGTAGGAACACAACCGGATAGAGGATAGAGGATGCTATACTAACTACCTTTTTCCTGGGGTAGATTTGATTGTTATCTTACTGTACGAGTAATGTAATATGTAATATAGGTAACTATAGCATGTGTGCATGTTTTATCATTAAGTGGTCATTTGGTCATTATGCTATGCATTGCCGTGAGCAGTATAACAATGTGTAATTTAGAAAGATGGCTGTACATAGAGGATGTTGTATTGAAAACTAATCCTGAGAAGGCCATTTGGTCTTTATGTGATGCCTTACTTTCGGGAAACTGTCAATTCACTGTGTGATGCAAATGCATGAGCTGGCTTGTTTTTTCTGTCGACTTAGTCTTTCCTTTATGTTGATCAGGGAGGAGAATGCCCCAGTTGAGGTTGCCGCTCCGGTTGCGGCCCCTACCCCAGTTCTTGGAGAGCCCATGGACTTGATGACTGCTCTGCAGCTTGTGATGAAGAAGTCAAGCGCTCATGATGGCCTTGTCAAGGGACTCCGTGAAGCTGCGAAAGCGATTGAGAAGCATGCTGCTCAGATCTGTGTGCTTGCTGAGGACTGCGACCAGCCTGATTACGTGAAGCTGGTGAAGGCACTGTGTGCTGAGCACAACGTTCACTTGGTCACTGTGCCTAGTGCCAAAACTCTTGGCGAGTGGGCTGGGGTTAGTATTCTTGTTCATCTGCTTAGTAATATTTACATTTCTCCCAAATTTCACCTCATATTTATCTTCATATACACGTCATGTTCATTTGCAAAGCGAAATTTGCATTAATCCAATATATACCTCAATGAACATGTGGTCTGTTACATCTACTTGATTTCCACTAGGCATGCTTGGTCTCTCATGTTATTAATGGTCAAAGCTTATGTCTGGTCATTTACTAGCTGTTTTCCTAGTTTGTTGCTCAGCTTGTAGCTTAAAGTTGGGCATGCAGTATGATGGTTCTTCTTAGTTTGCAACAAACCTTGTATGGAAGCTGGAATTGCTTGCTGACAAATTCCATATGCTATATTTGATGCAGCTTTGCAAGATTGACTCTGAGGGCAAGGCAAGAAAGGTGGTGGGCTGCTCATGTGTCGTCGTGAAGGTAAGGATTCCATTCTGATTGTAGTGAAAGAAGAATTATGTTCTATTTTAGTGCAAAGAGAATCTTGCCCTAATCTAACTTTTGGTTGTTCTTTCCCCTCTAACCAGGACTACGGCGAAGATTCCGAGGGTCTTCACATCGTGCAGGAATACGTCAAGTCGCACTAGGGACGGCCTTCCAGTTTCCGGATTCTGCAGGATGCTAGTAGCTTCTTTATGATTGTGTTCCATGTCTGAAACTTGTTAGCCTATGAAAATTATCGTATGCGGTTTTGTTGAATCAGAGTTTCGTTTCTGGTGCTGGGACATCATGGCTTGATTGCCAGAGATACAGATCTTCCAGTTTCCATTTTGTTGGTGCTATCTCTATTAAATATGGGAGTATGTTGATTTTGAGCTTGCATGAGGTGTTGTGTCTACTGCTAAGTTTGATGAACGAAATTACTCCACGCGCGATGTTGACGGAACGATCTGCATAACCATAGTAAGCAACGCCCATTTGTGAATTAGTGAAAGATAAATTACCCTGGGAAGAATTATTTGATGTATGTTTTTCGTTAGATCATTGTGGTTTATCCCACCCAGGTAAAGCAGGAAATGCATGGACGTGCACTTTCATGAAGCAGCAAACACGAATACTCTCGGTTGTCCTGGAAGCAATGCTTGAAAGAAAGCGCAAGTGCCAAGAAGGGACTCTCACTGTAGAAGCATAGGGAATTCCATGATTGCTAGATCGATCCATAGGGATTGATGAAGAGTGAGCTGATAATGGAATTTTTCTTTGATAAACAGGAAACTTAAGATTAAGATGCTCTGGAATGGAAACAAAGGAATGTCAACAATACCCAGATTTAGTCAGATCCAATTCGAGGGATTTTGTAGGTTCATTAATCAAGCCTTGGCAGTTGTTCCGATCAGACTATTCTCAAAGATGCATACGGCACGCGTCATACGTTGCAGGTAGCATTCCAGTTTAACAGCTTAGAGATAAACTGGAATTTCATGTTGTTACATCATACATTGCAGGGTAGCATTCCAGTTTAACAGCTCAGAGATAAGCTGGAATTTCAGGTTTGTAACAACGGCTCCCGCCCATATCCACCCGTCAAGAACCTCCACGGTAGCACAGCTTATTGAATTTAGGTTACAACTCTGAACTCTCGAACTCAAAACACCAAAACCAGCTACAGTTGTTTGAGGTCACAGCACACCATCTAGTCGCATTAGTACATTGGAAGTCTCTCTGTATAGGCTTTGCTCACCAGTCCAGCCCTAAATTCTTGGAGGTGAAGAGGTCTTCGACGTAGAGAATTACTGGTCCAGACGACCTGACGAAACTCTGCATTTGAGCCCTTGCCGAATTTTCTGCAAGGTTAAAAGAGGCAGTGACCCGAGATCAGAATCAAGTGACACCAAGACGAAGAAGCTAAGATAACCTATTGTGTTTTTGACATATTTTGTCCCAATCATTTTCTCCTCATGCAACCTGAGCAACTATAGAACTGTACTAAGGCAACCAAAAAGCAACTTGCATATGACCCCCTCTAATACAAGCAAACATCTATACAAACAAACAATTAGATCTACGCCTTTTGTAAGGCAACCAAAAAAGCAATGTGATCTGATCAGTTGCTTGCTTAGCATGGAAGTTCAGAGTAATAACATGTGTAAACTACTGGAGAGATAAAACAGTGTTCTGGAGATCAGGACACACTCACCATCTTCATTCAGTTTCTTCAAGAGCTGCGACTTAGAAGGGAGGGCATACATTCCAGCACCAACGGCCTTCCTTATGGCCCAGCCATGGTGAGGAGCAAACACCTGAGCATAAGCCTTTGACGCTGCGTCCTTCAGGGAGTTGCCTCTGAAAACAGAAGAGAATGTGAGCATTCAGATAACGTTTACTCAACAGGCATCTAAGAGTAGCAAACTAAAGGGTTGACAGCATACTGTAAGTTTTTTTTTAATCACAACATAATATAAGTGACAGCACTATCCCGTTTGCAGCTTGAACTTACTCTGTGACCAATATCTGCTCAAACAGAACTTTCACCATATCAATCCCACGCTTAACCCTCAGTAGATTCCTCGTATGGCTCCCCGCCTGCCTGACAGTGCCCTTTTGAATGTCAAGCTCAACCATGGAGGGCAATGTTGAAATCGTCTTGGATGCCTCCAGTAAATCATTAACCTGCAGCCACATAAGACGAAGTAATCAGACAAGACCACCAAACAAAAGCCTTGAAAAGGGGATGCTACAATTAACTAGGTAATAAGCACGCATGAGTATATGAGGTTTCTGCAACAAGATAACATGTGAAACCCGAAATGGCCGCACGCTTGGTTTGCTAAGCAGTAGTGCTATAATAAGTGCAGAAGTAGGTTGGAAGCTCCAACGCCTCTTAAGCATACATCAGAACAAGCATATCAAAATAATAGCTGAAAGCCTGAAATAGATAATCAGTTTTGCTAAAGGGTCCTTATGTGCACACACTAATTCCTGGCTTGATCAAGTTGAAAATTAATTGAGACCATCTAGCACTAACCTCCTAGCCTTAAACAAGCCTAGGAGATCACCACAATTACCTTAAAACAGAGATGTATACAATTAAAGCAGTAGTACTAACTCAAGTGCAGAAGTGGATAGGATATTCTACACCTGAAGCGTACAACCTCAACAAGCATAGCACACAGTAGCAGAATTAGACAGTCCGATCCTGATGAAACACCCACCTATTGCTGCTTGATCCAGTTCGGAATTCGACAGGTCATTTCACCCAAACCTCCTAGCGATCAACACAATTACCTTCCCACGTGGATGATGCATAGCTATGCAGCGTATACCAATCAAAAATAAACTCAAAACAGAACTCGCCAAACTCGATCCGGTTGAGAATTTTGAGGTCATTTCACCCCAAACCTCCCAAGCTTCACACATAACGAAACCAATGTCCCCGGAATCACCAGAAATTTTACCACATACAAGCACACCGAAGTAGCATACCGAACAGCCGACTCGCCCTAAGCAGCCGAGCGCTCCAACCGGGGGAGGAATCGCGAGACGCGAGCTAGAGCAGAGCAGGTAGCGGGGAGGAGAGGAGAGGGGGGCGGAGGAGCGGCCGCTTGCCTTGGCGACGTAGTCCATCTCGGCGAACTTGAAGGCGATGCCGAGGCAGCCAAAGAGGACGGAGACGTTGGAGCAGGCGCGCGAGAAGTCCCCCGCCGCCATCGCGGGCTGTTGCTGCTGTTTGGCGACGGCCGCGAGCTGCTCGAACGACGCGCCGATCCGGCGCAGCGGCTTGTCCGCCTCGTTGGACCCCATCGGCCGGTCGCCGCCGGCGGAGAGGGTGGGCGCTTCGAGTTGGAGAGCTTGGGTTGGGTGGCGTCGGCGTCTGGGCTGATGCGTTGTGCTCTTTTTTTTTCTCTCTGTGTGGTGATGCCTTGTGCTTTCGGTGGTTGTATACGCGTTGTTGTGTGAAGAGGGCGACGGCGATGATGGCGAGGTTGGGGTCGGTTGGTCCTGTGATGGGCCTGAAAGTGGGCACGGTAGCAGGCTCGGGCTACGGAATGGAATGAAACAACTTGGGCCATTCTCTGCTAGGCCCATGAAGCGTAAGAATGTTTTTTTTTGGGCTTGTAGCTTAAGGAATTTCTAAGTTAAGCTGCTACGCTGCAAAGGAACTGGGCCTTGGTCGATAGAGAAAGCCCTAGAAAAAAAAACCAAGAGGCCGAGGGGGTGGATCGAGGAGCTTCCATGTCCACGGCGGCCGGTGATCTCCCGGCGGCGTCGACGAGGAGCGAGAGGCGGAAGGAGCGGAAGAAGGAGCGCCGCCGGCGCGCGCGCAGGGAGGCGGCGGCGGCCGCGCGGGCTGCGGCAGAGGCGCTCGCCGCCGACCCAGAGGAGGGGCGCCGCCTCCGGGAGCTCGAGGAGGCCGAGGCCGCCGCGTCCGACCGCGCGCGCCGCGCCTTTGAGGACGCCGAGCGCCGCTGGCTTGAGAAGGCCGCCTCGCGTGCCGCCGAGGAGGCAGCCGCGGCGGCTGCGGAAGAAGAGGCGAGGGCCGCCGAGGCTTCCACACGCGACAAGGTCTCCTGCTTCTCACTTACCCCAGTGCCTTGGCTCCTTCAACTGAACTAGAGTATTTAGCCAGTTGCTTGCTTACTTCAAACCTAGAATGGATACGCACTCCGTTTCTATTGTCCATGAACCTGCACACACACCTGATTTCGTAATAATAGCATAATCTGCGGAACATGGGACGGCTTAAGTTGTATGTTGTCTAACTGACATGAAGAGCACTGGTAGGTTGGTGTTTGCTGCCTTCGATGTGAATTGTCACTTAACAATAGCATAACGAAAATTCTACCAGTGTTCTCGGAAATTATTGGAATAGGATTGATAATAAGAAGCCAAAGAGGATACTAATCAGGAAGAAGAAGAGGAAGCAAAGTTTAGGTTTAAAAATCCAAGCATTGATGAAAAAGAAGACCATTGTCCTTGCCATCTGTTTGAGCCCATTTGGATTCCCCGGACTAGAGTTATACTTATATGCTTCCACATGATGCTGTTCACCTTACCCCATTTCAGTTCTCCGCTCCTTGGTAGCTCACTGTTTAAGGACACTCATGCTTGGTCCATGGCACGTGATTTCACAGATTCTGGCTGTCCATCGGATATATTTATTCCCATCCTCTTGATACATCATATATGCGTGTTGTTTTGATAACTCAATGCATGTGTTGTGTGGTCTTCATCGAAAATGTTTTACTAGCTGGTGGAATGTTTGAGAATACATTACGTTCTAATGGGTCCTGATTATTGTTGCTTCTTGGGCTATTTCAGTATAACGATGAGCACAGAGACGAGACAGAAGATGATGGGGAATGGGAGTATGTTGAAGATGGACCAGCGGAGATCATATGGCAAGGAAATGAGATCATTCTGAAGAAGAAAAAGATCAAAATACCAAAGAGGACAGAGGATAAACCACTAAGTCAAGAGGTCAAGCTTATGTTTGTGATAAAGTTTTGTTGTCTCTTTACTGTTGCTCAAGGATCCGTTTTTGACTTACCATCTGAAAAGGGCATGTACAATGTCTTGCAGGAAGAGAGACCTACATCAAATCCGCTGCCACCTCAGTCTGTACCTGTTGCTTCTCAGAGGAGAGAACCTTCCTTGTCTGCTCGAGAACTACTTGAGAAAGTTGCTCAAGAGACTCCAAATTTCGGAACTGAACAGGTATACTCCATGGTTCTCTTTTCAGCTAGACAGGGAAGGATGTACTTCTATTGCAAAATATAGGAAGACAAATCCCAATATCTAATCAACACATTTGCCTATATTTGCACCAATGTAATGACTCTGTTATTTTCTCGGTAGGATAAGGCCCATTGCCCATTTTACCTCAAGACAGCAGCTTGCCGCTTTGGAGTGCGCTGCAGCAGAGTTCATTTCTACCCTGACAAATCATGCACGAAAAACATGTATAATGGTCCGGGCCTTGTTTTGGAACAAGATGAAGGGCTTGAGGTTTGTTAGAGGACAATCCCTTGCAAACGAATTGGTATCCTGAACTATTCTGTGTTTTGGCACAGCTTTTTAGTGTTGTTCACCCTCACTTTCATGGACAGTTATACTCATTACAATACTTATTCCTGACCTACTCACTGTTTTAAGATTATACTCCCTCCCTTTAGGTTTGTTACATCTCAAAAAATCTGAATTGTCAGTTTTGGAAGGCCCATTGCTTTAGGAATAGGCAAATATTAAGTACAGTCACATTAATTTCTGTCTAAATTTAGTTCTCAATGTGGAATTTAGTTCTAAATTTAGTTCTTGAAAAACCATGCATGCTGCATTAATACATGGTCCATCACTTAATCAGGTCCTCCTTGGTTACAGTGATTTTTTAGTGAGCCAAATGGATTAAGCTTAAACTTTGTGTTGTACAATGAACAACCATAGGTAGAAATAACTGGTTACTTTAATTCTTTTGTAAGTTCTCTTCGAAGTGTTAAAATGTGCCTGTTGCTCTTTAGAAGTTTTGCTTGATCTTCTGGCTACTCTCAGACCTGCGACATAATACATGTTCATTGATGCATTCTCCAAGAATTCCGTCTCGAGGCAAGCAGTGACCAACCAGCCAGTTGGTTTCATTTGATTGGAGACGCCCTGAACTTTCATCTGCTACCGTATCCTAAATTTTCATGTTGCTTGTGTTGCTGAGATTTGCTATGTTTTTAACTTTTCGAAAGGAAATACACCAATATTTAAAGTTTACAACATGCCTTGAGAATTATTGATGAAGCAGCTCCTTGACAGTCCCATAGTACTTGTGAGATGTTCTTTTATTGGACGTGTTGATGATCATTAGGTGACAGGTGAATTTGTTTTTAACCCCTTTAGTATAGAAAATACTTTTTGATGGTAAACTATTGCTTAAGTAGGCCCTCAGTATTACTTTTGTGTTTTCTAGTTTTAATTATCTGTTTCTCCCTTTGTGTTTTCTCCCGTGTTTACTTCATAGGTCGTGGAAGTTGCAGTTGAATGGTTGATTTGATCCATAGCTAATAAGGTTTTTTGTAACATCCTCCAGTTTACAGACGAAGAGATTGAACAGAGCTATGAAGAATTTTATGAGGACGTGCACACAGAATTTCTGAAATTTGGTGAACTTGTCAACTTCAAGGTTCTTTTTTCTTCCTACCCTACCGAGAGTAGTTGATTTTCCCTCTGGCAGCATCTCTTTGTCTGTTGCAAGAATAGTACTTTATCACTAACTTTGTAGGGTTAGGTTAGTTGGTTATTAGTCTCCAAGGATGATAATTTGTTCTTACTTAATGGGGTTAGTGGCCTAATTCAAGAATGTTTGTATTACCGTTATGTGTTTGCTACAACTATCAATCATGCACGTGCAATGCATGGTTCCCATAATATACATTCAATGTGAACTTGTGAAGTGTACTAACATTGTGGAAATCCATATTTATAAGACCTAAGTGTACGCATCATTAAATTTATTTCTTCCCCAGTAAACCACTCAAATGAAAAAATCCTGGAGATTACATATGTTAAATCGTGAGCCATAAGCATGCATGTTTAAATCATGAGCCGTAAGCATGCAATTAAGAGATTATTAGTGTTGGTGATTAGGAGACTAATTCTGCCAGCTATTAATATGATGTATGCATGGTTTGGACTGAAAGTAACCAACACCACTGTGAGTCAATCAGGACAAACAGTTTCACCTTAATTCATGTTGGTCCCATATCTCAAACGCCTTCACCTTAACTCTAATATTCATATGTACTCTGTTCGCACCCCAGCTCAGCACAACAAGCATTGCCTCTTCTACTCTTACAAGTTACAAGTAGAGATATAGATATGAATATGATTGATTATGGCTGATTCATACAATATAGTATTATTAGGCTGGCTCTCTAATAATTTACTCAAGGTATTGTGTTGTTCTGTAGGTAGCTAGCTTGTTAACTGTAGTTGTTCATAGCGACTTCACTTTGTTGCACATGCTATACCTAGGGGCTTTTCAAATGCGGACTTGCATAGGCATTTTGACCTCACCTCCAGTTCAATATGCCACCCACCTAATGGTCTCGTGGACTACGCACCAATATTGTAAAAACTAAATACAGAAAGGAAAAGGAACCTCGGACCTAGGTCTGTGCTGGATTTCTGTTAATTGAAAAACAACTGGGTGGTTTGTTAGCTTGAATTAGTACACATATTTATCTGAAATGGTTACCAAAAATGTTATCACCATTCACCAGTGGTTCCATTGCGCGCAACACTAAGAAGCAGAAATCTGTATTTAAATTTGAATTCTGAATTTAAACTAGATGACATGGTGAATTTCTAAATCCTGGTCAGAGTTGGTGTTAGACCTTTCAACCTGAGCATTGATAGTTGTGGATGACACTAGGAGAGTTGGGACAATTTTCGTTGGTTTATTTCTCACACAATGCCATGCCAACCTGAGGGGTTGGGGATACATATTTATAGGCTGCTAGCCAGCCAAGGCATATGCTAAGATGCTGCTAAGATGCCAGTCTAAGATGCTAGTCTAAGATGCTAGTCTAAGATGCTAACTGACAGTCCTTGATGGTCAAGAACAGAACTCTATCCTAACAGCCAGTCCTTGATGGTCCAGGACTTTATCCTCCTAACTGCCACAAGGACCATGTGCTGCAGCCCCACAAGGACCCTAGTACACAGACTTATCCATCATTCTCCCCCTAAGTCTTGTACGTCGTCTTGTGGGAGAGTTGAATCATCCCAATCCTGGAGCAAAGTTCGAGGAACTTGAC